TCTGCAGGCGGCGGGACGGGGCCGGGGGCAGCTCGGTGCGCTCGGCCGGCCTGCGGCTTTCCGGCCCGTTGGGCGCGAGCGCGGCTGGCTGGTGTCAAGCACGGCGAACGTAATACCAGGGGAGCGGGTGACCTACGGGCATTGTTAGGAAATAGCGCCGATATTGAACTGCTTCAACGTTACCTTCTCTGGTTCCTTAACGTATCGCAGAAGCTGTGATTTTTTTTTTTTTTTGGAAAGATTTCTTTAAAAATAAAAAGCCCAGCAGAAGCCAAACTGACGTTTCTCATTTCAAATTCCTTCAGCTGGAGATTTGCTTGGAAAAATTTCTGCCTTTGCAGTGGAAATGTTCCCAGTGTTGGCCAAGGCCTGAACTAATAATTTTCCTGGAGAGGGAGGGAAGGATGGAGAGAAGGAAGGAAAAGAGAAAGAAAGAGAAAAAAGAGAAAATGAAAGGAAGGGAGGAAGAGAGAGAGAAAGAATGGAAGGAAGAAAAAGAGAGAGACAGACAAAAAGAAAGAGAAGAGAAAAAGAAAAGAAAAAAGAAGCAAAGAAGAAAAGTGAAATAGAAGAAAAAAGAAAAGAAAAAAGAGAAGAAAAGAAAAAAGAGAAAAAGAGAAAGAGAAAAAGAAGAGAAGGAGAAGAGAAAGAGAAGGAGAAAAGAAAGACGAGAAAGAAGAAGGGGGAGAAGAGGAAGAGAAGAGCCGGCCAGCGGAGCTGCCAGACTCCCGCCTTCCCTTGCAGCTTTCAGCAGCAGCCTCCGTGCTGGGGGGTCTTGGAAACGGGAATCATTTCCCTGTGTTGTGCAAATTTGCAACACGTTTATTTTGGTGCCAAGCCACCGGGAAAGATGCTAACGGCCCTCCTGGCTTCGACCGCGGGCCCCCCAGTCTGGCTCCAGCAGCGGCCGTGAGCGCGTGCCCCGAGAAGAGGACGAGCAAGGCGTTTGTCTAAGACCCCCCCCCCCCGCTCCCCAGTGCTCGCCTGCTCTCCCAGTACCACCAGGTCAGGGAATTTCCTGGGTCTGATGCATTTTATCTATTAATTAGCCTGTAATAAACCTCTCTTTCAAGTACTTGCCCTGTGTCTCGTTAAGCTCATGTAAACATGTATCATCAGTAATATCCTTTGGCAACGAGCTCCACCGGTCTCGGCGCAAAGCTGGCCCTGGCAGCGTCATTCGACGGTCCCATCCACCGGCCCTCTGCATCATCCTCTCCCCTCTGGGACGCCTGTGCTCTGGGCGGCGGGACGCTCACGCAGACGCCGTTGCGTACCTTTGGGCCCATGCAGCCATCGGTAAATCCTCCCCCTGGCGTCCCTGCACCGGGTGACGGACACCCTCCCCGTCCCTCGGCTGGCGGCCGGGCGTCTCCCCCCCC